ACCACCACCTGACTCCCTGTGCTCCACTAGACCACCATCTAACGTCGTCACTCCGCCGGATCACCACCTGACGCTCTACGCTCTGCTAGTCTTTCACTTGAAGCTCTCATCTTTGCCAGGCCACTATTGAAGATTCTCACATTTGTCAGACCTTCATCTAAGGCCCGAAGTCCTACAAGACCATTACTCGACACCCAGACTTTTATTGTACAGTTGCTACTTGTAATCTGATTGTCCTTAGAGACGAGTCAGTTCTCACATTTGCTAGACCTTCATCTAAGGCCCGAAGTTTTTGTCTCGTCATCATCTAAGGCCTGAAGTCCTGCCAGACCATTACTCGACACTCGGACTTCTATTGTACAATTGCTACTTGTAATCTGATCGTCTTTAGAGACGAGTCAGCCCATTGTAACCAACTCAAGTTATAGTGAAATCTTTTCAACTGGGCTAGGCCCCGTGGTTTTTCCCCTTTCAAGGGTTTTCAATGTAAAAAATCTTGTGTTCTCTGTGTGTGAGCTGAATATCCGTATAACGCTAAGACGAACAATTAAAACTCTATCGCCGCGTATATTCTAGTCCACAATAGGTCTCATTTGTAATCAAATGCAAATACTAGTGGATTCATTCAAATTGGGCTAGGCCCTCTGGTTTTTTCCCTTTTAAGAGTTTTCCATGTAAAAATCTTGGTGTCTCTTATAAATACTGCACCCTATCTTTTTATCTTATTGTGTACTGAATCTTCGTACCAAACTCCAATGTTAAACTTCATATTTCTCTACCACCGCGAATATCCTAGGAGGACGCAAGGATTAATTTTGAGTCGGTTTTTTGAGCTAAGTCAATAATCATATTTAATTTTTAAAAAATATTTTTAAATTTATTTAAGGATCTAACACACATGCATATAATAATAAAAAGTTGAGACCATAATTTTAATATGAAAAATCTGGAAAGAATAAAAAAATCGTAGGGGCTAGCCGAGATGAAATAATTCCTTATGAAGATAGATTATAAGACTCCAATCTTCCACTCAATTGGAGAAGAGGAGATTGCAAAGAATGTGACACATGTTTTTAATTTTGTGGATAGAGAGAATATCAGAGATTTAGTGGTTGGATGGTGTTAGTCAAGCAATGAAAATCAGATGATAGTGGAAGGATAACGATAAATTGGGAGATGTTGGTCTGATGGCGGCAGAATGCAGTGAATGGATTATGGCGATTGAGCAACAATGGTTAGACGATGACATGTAAGGCATGACGATGAATTGAAGAGACTTGAGCGGTGGCGGTCAAATAATGGCATTCAAGAGATGGTGGTGTTTGGCAGTGATCAACGGCGTGAAACGTCAAGTAAAACTCTAAAATTCTTTAGATCTTCAAACTCTCTTCAAACGTCATATGATGACTTGTGGATAATTACGAATTGAAATGACGATCAAACGGTTTTAGCTAAACAACGGTGGTGAGGGTACGGTGGTTGGATGTCCTAATTGGATAATGATAGTAGTGCCTGGTAATGATTATCAAGAATTAAGTGCTTTAAGAACCTCAAAATTGAATATTTTTGTGCTCATTGGATTTTTCTCACAATGCTCAATTTGATTACAATCATGCTAGATTTAAAGACAATTTAATCATTCAATTAATAGTCCAAAATCTTCATACATATATGCTTTAGTGCTTGATTTAAATTCATTTGGAATGAGATCAAACCACTTTTAGTGTCGTTGGGCTTATTTACTCAAGCCAATTAGTTCAACTAAAAAGTTTCAATTCAAAATATTATCTTGGTCTGTTGGTAGGGAGCTCTGGCTACCAACCAAGAGGTTTTGAGTTCGAGTTTTACGTATATGATGTGTGTGTGTGAATTTGACTTAATTGATCTAAATATCCTAATTAAAAAAAAAAAAAAAAAACTTTGATGAAAGCAAAGCTATGGGCAAGTTGACCTTTTCTCCTTCCAGCTGACTGTTTTGCACAATGCGGAATACACTAAAAAACTGACGTTTGTTAACTGTGATTTTCATATACTACTTGCTTCTATTTAAAAAGTATATATATCACAGCAAGTGTGGCATAAATACAATTAAAAATACCAACCAACTTTGAATTTTTTTTGTTAATGAAAAGCTGGCCATTAAGAGGAAAAAGAAAAAATACACGGACAAAAAAAAAATTGATGATTTCCTTTTATTTGATTTAAAAAAGATGGTGAATAAAGTATATTATTTGATGAAAATAATTTGCTATATTCTTAAAAAAAAAAGCACAAAAATCCATACAATATCATATCATTATTAAATAAACTAGTAAAAATTCTCACTAAATATAAGTGCATAATCAATATGCATTAATATTTTATTTGAGATGATTTTTTTATTATTTTATGAAACTGTGGTAGAAAAAATACTCTTTCAAGTTATTATAGGCTTGGTTTGGGACTGCTTTCTTACTGCTTCTTAAAGTAATTTTTTAGTACGAAAATTTTAATTTTTTTACTGAAAAATTATTTTAAAAAATAGTAAGAAAGCCATCTCAAATGAAGTCATAGAAAACAACTTCTTAGTACCAAAATTTTTTAGAAGCAACGAAAAAGATATAGCCAAATATTGAGTTCTAAAGGCAAAACACCAAGATAACAGTCCCAAAGAGAGCCTAATCATGGTAGGCTGACCAAGATAACTCCTAGTGAGCAAGCACTTGATTTTGATTTGACCTCCTCGATGACTTAGGCTACTTGGCGGCTAAGCCTTCTGTGCGACTTTTCCGAGAAAACTGACCTTCCTCGGACGTCCCAATAAAGCCTTTTTTTTAATACATTTGAGTCGTTAAGTTAAACTCACACACACATATCACAAGCTTTGATCTAAAACCTCTTAATTAATAGCCAAACACTATAGGAAAATCATTAATTACCGACTGTATGCTTCAATTTTCCAGCGGTTCTGAAAAATTCCGATGGTTTTAAACAGCGTAGGAAATTGAAACCGGCGGTGTTCCGGCGGCTATAACAGCCGAAAATTTTTGAGTCCAAAACCGTAGGTAAAACGCCATAATATTATGGCGCAAATACAGTCAGCTAATTGTCAGTCAATACCAGCGGTCAAACCATTAGTGTTTCCGGAGATGCATGGATATCACCTTCGATTAAGGTTGGCGGGCGGAAATTGGCTAGGGCAAGGTCGATCGTCGAGGCTAGAGCGGAATTCGGCCAGGGCAGAAGGGCGCGGCTTCTCTAGATGAACCAAACGAACAGACGTCGACCAAGGTAAGGCAAAGTCCGGCGAGCGCAGGCGTTCTCTGGAATTTGGCCGAATTAAACAAATGAGCTAGGTGAAATGGTGGGGGGGGGGGTCAGTTTTAGAGACCTTATTGGCGGCATTTAAATGGCGGTTAAACTGCCAATAGTATGTCATGAAAACAAATTACTGGTGGTCATTTGACTGCCGGAAATACTGGCGGTTTAATCCTTTTTAGGTTAGGCCGCCGGTAATTCTAACAGTCAAATGACTGTAATAAATTCTGCCGATATTCAGTAAATTTTCTATAGTAAAAGTCCCCAACCAATAGATCAAAATAAGCTGCATCCGAATTAAGCCTCAAACAAAGCCTTCTAAAATATACAAGGACGTGACATGCTTCCCCTGCAGAAAACAACAAATTCTGAACCAGATGGTTGTCCATGGCTTTTATGATGCTTGGTGATCAAACCGCTGGTCAATCAACCAGCCATTCAATGCCCACCACCCATCACTTGACCATATTTGATCCCACCACAAAATCTTTATGCCACCTTAATAGTCTAAAAGGCTTAGCCTCTACCATATAAAAGCACATCACCGAACTTAGCACAGGAATCGACCTTTCAGAAGGCATTGTCACCTCGATCTTCAGCTCTAAAGGAAAACCAAAATGAAGGGAACTTGTCCATGTTCCTATTCTTTGTTGCTCTATCGACAAACATGCCCTTCTAAGATAAATCCCGGCGGAATATGAGCTGGTGTTTAAGCGGCAGAAATTGCGCCGGACATTTCGCCATTATGTTATCCGCCAAATCCACCAGTAAATGTATTTTAGCAGGAACGTCCGACGATAATGACAAATTTTCCTTTAGCATTACGTCCTTGCACCGACATGATCACTACCAACCTCCATTAATTATATATTCTTGATGCTCATGATGAGCAGATGATCGAGCAACCTATCTTCTCCTTCGTCATTGCAAGGGAAGCGGAGATGACAATGCTCAGGTTCCCACAAAGAGAGAAAGAACAAGATAATAAGTCCAAGCACATCGATTTGTTGAATTTTTCTTTTATTTTTATAAATAATCTCGGGTCAATCGCATCCATCTAACTGGACAAACTAACTCGCTACGCCTAAGGAAGGACCTGTTTTACATCACTTCAAAGGGGCAATAATTCCATACAAACTAATAAAAATTTCATTTTTCGCTCCAAAATACAGTTAAACTCAAAAATACAGTGATTCGTCTCCAATCTAATTCCATTTTATGCACTTTTGTGAAGGTAACCGTCTTTCTCTCTTTCGCGCCTTTCTTCGACAAATCCGGTTAAGACAGAAAAATCCCTTCACTCTACACCGATTTTTTTACCGTTAGAATGGAGCAAACCAATCACACATTATAGTCGTTTGGAGTTCAGCTTTGAGACGCCCTAAGATGATTCATCTTCAACTGCTTCTTGAATCCTACTCGATAAATCAGATGCGCTCTCTTAGGGTTCGTTTGAGACAGCTTTTTTATTGCTTTATAAATTGGAGTTTTAGTACAAAATTAACTAAAATACCGTTTTAGAAAGCAATAAAAAAGCCATCCCAAACGAAGCCTCAGTCAATTTATCAAATTCTCTAATTTTTCATGCTTTTTAATGACCAATAAAATTTAGCAACAAACTGTGGCCGATCATGATGATTAATTTTGCAAATGATATTTTACGAAGAAATAAAAAGAATCAAATTAAGCGCCGATGATGCCATAAATAAATACAAAGGCCTTATTAAATTAAAAAAAAAAGGATCAGGCACTGAACGGAAAACAAAAAAAAGATTTATTTTTTCTTTCGCCTAAATGAAATCGAAAAAAAAAAAAAACATTACTTTTCAGCCCTGGAGTTGACAGGATTTTTCATGGACTCCCTTCTCTCCATCGTCAACCGAAACGAGAGCTCCCGTATCGTCGACAGAACCGGTCTCCACGGCTTGATCCGCCGTGTCCGCGGAGCCACACCGAGCGGATCCGTTTTGTCAGCCGTCTGAACAACGGGCGACCGGGTTCCTTTCTTAGGCTTGGAGTTAGCCGACCGGCGAGCCTTGGCGGTGAGGCGGTTAGCGAGCGCGATCAAGTCCACCGGGCCGGCCTGGAGGACTGTGTGTGGAAGGAGGAAGTAAAATCGGCCCGGCTCAAGCTGTTCGTCGGGTCGGAGGGGTTTGGCGATGCCGGAGAGAAGCTGGATCGGCAAGAACAGAAGCTGGTACGGCGGCTTGCCGGTGACCTCGCTGACGGTGATGGGAGGATCGAAACCCTCCACGTGACCGTTGACGTGCATCACCCGAACTCCATTGAACGGTTCCGATTCATCGCAGCAGAAACAGCACCCAAAGCAGCAACCCATCTTTCTTCTTTCTCTTTCTCTTTCTCTTTCTTGGAGAAACAAAGGCAACTGTGTAGAATATAGCGGCTTATTGCATATGTAATTTACTAAGTTACCCTTTCTATATATTTGACTATCGTTGGTAAGTAAGACTAAAAATGTAAGAACTCTTAATAGATAGTCTAAATTCTCAATCAACTTTACAAATTCTTGAATAAGGAACAATTAAAAAAAAAACTTATAATTTCTTAAAATTTTAAAATTTATAGAGCAAGAAATAATTTAAAAAAAAAATTAAAGAAAGAAAAATAATTAAATAATTTAAGGAAAGGGCGCCCTCTAGGAAGCCAATGTAAAAAAAAAAAAAAACATGTAGTATTGTAGTGTGCACCTGTACGAGCTCAATGATGCGTGCGAGACAAGCCTGCAGTTGCAATGGTAACAGCTAGCCATCATACTAGTTTGAACCCTGTATATGCCTATTTCATTGTTTTTTACAAGGTTGTGAAAACCGGACCGGACAACGAACCGGAAGAACGAGAGGTTCATGGTTCGACCGGTTTGACCGGTCGAACCGGGGTCGAACCGGATGACGTAATAAATAATAATATAATTAAAAGTAATAAAATTAAAATAATAATAATGACAATTTATTCTTAAAAATTTTCTAGTTCTAAGAATTTTTAGACAAAAAAATAAATAAAATTCATACATATATAATATATTACATAATTTTAATATTAAATATAAATAATTATTATATTTATGTTATATATTTAAATATAATTAATTACTAATTTTAAATTTAAATATAAACATCTTCAATCTTCGATTTTAATTTATATTTAATAAAAATTTAGTTTATATATAAATATATAAATTTGATATAAATTATTATTTTATGTTATATATTTAAACATAATTTACATATATAAATTATATATAAATTTTATATTATAAAATTTTATTTATAAAGTCATACAATATTATTTTTTAAGATTTTTATATTTCTATCATTTAATTTCGCATTTAGAAAAAGTTTTAAAACTTTAAAAATTGTAAATAATTTTTTTATTTGAATAATTATAAATATATAATTAATAATAAATTTAAGAAGTTTAAAAATTATTATTATGATTTTTTATTTGAATATCCTACAAAAAAAAATTCCAACAAGTTCTCATTTAAACAAGTGTCATGTACACATTGTTGAATGTTGAAACAAAAAACTACAAGTTGTTTAGTCCCACATCACCTAGGAGTTTTATGCTATGTTGTTTATATACCTTTCCTTGTACCCTTGGGCTAATAGCTTTCATGGTATTATGGCATCATGTGAGCTAGATTACTTATATTTAATGTAATATATAATATAATAAAAATTTTTGAATCATATTATTAAATAAAATATATGATATTTAAATTAATTTAATTTAATATTTAATTAAACATTTTATATAAAAATAAAATATTTAAATATCTTATTAGTTGAACCGGCCGGTTCTTTAAAAACCGATCGGTTCAACGGTTGGGCGGTTGAACCGGCGGTTCAAACCGGTTTTGACCGGTTCATTGCTAGTCCGGTTCTTAGGGAGGACCGAACCGGCCGTAAGACCGGTTCACGGTTGAACCGGTCGGACCGGCCGGTCCGGTCCGGTTTTCAAATTTAAAACTTTAAAAATTGTAAATAATTTTTTTATTTGAATCAAATAGATGTTGCATGAATTTCATGAATAATGTAGTTATGATTAACTCATCCTTTGAGTCAAGGGCCCATCAATTATCATTGATCTTAAAATAGGGTTTCACATGCGATCAACATATCCTATGAATTTTGTTGCTTAAAATGCACACATAATATTAGAGTGGAATATATTCATATGATGGCTATAAATGCCCTTGAAAGTGGTATATCTATCAAGCCTCAAGAGATTCATATTCTTATTTCTCTTATGAGATCATATGTATTGTCTCATATAGGTTATAACTTGAATGTCACGAACTTATCTTGAGAAAAATAAAATACTCTATGACAGGGTCAGGGTACCCTAAATTTTTCTTTATTTCAATTGTGTGAGGCATAACACACAATTTACGCATACATTTCATCTGTCTAGACAATTCAGACATGTTTAACGCTTAAATGAGAATCAGTGATCATCTTCATTTGAGTCGATGCGAGCTAAATTAATTGAGATCATGGTTTGCAAAACTAAAATAAATACAATTAGGGCACTACAACTAAGAACTATTAATACCAATTTGTTTGAAGGTAAAGCTTTTGTTGTGCCATTAAATTTACTTCATGAAGTCAAGATTGAACCACACTTAAACCTTAATTGATTGATTGATATTTTGTTTGAGACAGATTACTTATTGGTTTCAAAAGTATCCTTCTTTTTTATTTCAAAAATAGCTTTCTAGTACACAAAATTTCTATACTAAAAATTATTGTAGAAAGTTGTGAGAAGGCTGTCCCAAACAGAGCCTAAAACAATCTTGATTTGCTACTACTACACTTGGGCTCATTTCACACTTGTTTGTACCCCTTTTGGGTGGCACATTAACAGTGTATTTGATGTAGATACTTAGGTTTCATATGGGACGACTTTTTTGTTGCATCTTAAATCAGTTTTTTAGTAAAAAAAATAATTTTATACTAAAAAATTGCTTTAAGAAGCAATAAAAAAGATGTCCCAAACAAAATCTTAATAAAGCAATCTGATTGAAACATCAAGCATGTCAAGGGAATTTTTTGTTCTAGATATTTTTTGGGGAATTTAATTTCTTAAAATATTCTCAATCATGGGAGAATTAAGCTGTCTTTTTGCCAGCTTGCCATTAAAGATTGTTACAAGTTTCCAAAAGAAAACAACCAAAAAAGATTATATAACTAACACATGTCGTTAAGATTAGACAACTACTTTGTAATTTTGGATTTCAATTAATTTAGTTAATAAAAATTGAAAACTTTTTTATGAATTTTTTTTACATCAAATTAATATATTGGTGCTCAAAACTTAAAAGAAAAAAATAATCATTTTATACTAAAATGCTTCTTTAGAAATCAATAAAAAAGCTACCCAAACGAAGCCTTCGTTTTGTTTGGGGCAATTTTCTTACTGCTTTTTCAAGCAACTTTTCAGTACAAAATTTTTAATTTTTATACTAAAAAATTAATTTAAGAAGCGGTAAAAAATTAATTTAAGAAGCAATAAAAAAAACCGTCCCAAACGAATCCTTAATCATTCAATTATCTCTTCTAGAGTTCACTCTCTAAAAGTTGATTGTTCTAATTAAAAATTCATAAAATTTATTTTTTATTAATTATAGCCACTTATCACATAATAATTTTAAAGCATTTCCTAATTTTAATCATTTGTTAGATTATTCTGATGCTCCTTAAAGATTTTTATAAAATACATGAACATGGTTCTCCGTTGCCGGCTTAGCTTATAAAAAAATAAAAATAAAATACAACATTATTCTGCCGCCTGCATCCAATAATGAATTTATGAGGACAAAATTGTCTTTTTGTTTTCCAGAACGAACAAACTTCAGGAGAGGCTAAACAGTTAAAAACTTAAATTTGATCATACAGCAATCTACCGTTTTTTTATTGCTGTACTCTTCTCTCTCAGAATTATTACGTACAGCTATGTTCGAATTTTGATTAAATAATGACACGTGGTCGAATATATTATGTGCTAGCTATGTATTCATCGTATATTGGTCAATATATAATATATATTATAGTACACAGTGTGTACTAATTAATATATATTATGTATTAGTTAATACACAATATATACGTGAAAAGGTTGGAGTAGCTCCAGTAGAAGATAAGATTAGAGAAAGTCGCCTTAGATGGTTTGGTCACATAAAACGGCGGCCTTGCGATGACCCGGTTAGGAGAGTAGAGGTATTAGATTTGACTTATGTTAAGAAAGGTAGGGGTAGACCTAAAAAGACTTGGTTAGAAAATATTAGGAATGACCTTTCTTTATTAGATTTAAACGAGAATTTGACTTTTAATAGGACACAATAGAGAAAAAGGATTCATGTAGCCGACCCCACGTAGTGGGATAAAGGCTTGATGTTGTTGTTGTTGTTGTTGTTATGTATTAGTTAATACACAGCTAATATATAATATGTATTAACCACGTTTTATCATTTAATTAGAGTCTGGACTTTAATAATTTCTCATTCTCATGACAGTGAAATCTTCTATGATGTTTTTTTTTTTAAAATAACATTATACAAATTATATTCTTTTTTGAGTCCCAATCAGACCACCCAGTCAGACCGTCTTTTCTGAATCACAGACAGATTTTTGAGTCCCAGCTTGAGGAACTCTTCTCTGAACCAATGACAAAATGCTGCTTCTGCCAGACAAATATTGTCTGATCGTTATGTTTTCATTTTCTTTAGTAATGTAATAGTTATTGCATCTCATTCATGATATTTCTTACTCTAGCTAGAGATCCATGGCCTTGCATCTTTTCTCTTAAAAGTGAAAGTTAATAAAGAGATAGCTCTCAAGTTAGTGTATGTTTGCTTAGAAAGTTCATATGTGAAGTAGAAAGCATTATAGTCCCAACATTTAGTACATAGTGTAGAGATAGCATGCACAAAAGAAATGTAATATATTTGAGGCCTATTATATGTGCACACACAAATACATATCGGCTAAGGTGATGATATCGATGAAATCCTTGAAAAAAGTTTTTTTTTTTATTTTGTATAATATATAATAATATAATATATATATTATATACTATATATATAATTTTTTCTATTTACAGTTTTTATATTAATGAGTTTGCCCACCCTCAAAAATAAAAGGCATGGATCCGCCCCTGACACCAGTTTTTCAAAAACAACAATTACAAAGTATCAAAAATTGCGTAAAAAATGATATTTAAAACCTTTCTATCACAACAACAACTACTTCTTCAAAAATCTAGATAACAAAAAACTCCACAATTTTTAAAACCCCGTTGTAAAATTCTAGGAAAAACATTCAAATTATGTATAATTGTAATATCCTATAATCATAT